AACTCCTGGGCTCAAGCGAGTCTCCTGCCTTTGCCTCCCAAGTAGCTGGGACCACAGGCGCCCGCCACAACGCCTGGCTATTTTTTGGTTGCAGCCGTCCTTGTTGTTTGGCGGGCCCGGGCTGGATTCGAACCTGCCAGCTCAGGTGTACGTGGCTGGTGCCTTAGCCTCTTGAGCCACAGGCGCCAAGCCCACATAACTTTCAAAAGAGCAAAAATGGAAACTGAAAGGTCTTGTCAGGCCTAGGTCTTGAGCTGGCACAAGATCATTTCCATCTCATTTTATTGGTCAAAGCAAGTTAGACAACCAGACAAGATTCAAACAAGAGGAAGAGGCTCCTCTTGATAGGAAGAGTGGTAAAGTCACATTGAAAAAGTCATTTCCAGATGGAAGGGATTGTTCTGGCAATCTTTGGAAGCAGTCTACCACAACACTGCAATGTTTTAGCAAGGAAAAAGAAGGCTGCTGCTCTTACCTGGGTGAGAAGTTGGGTGTCCTGAATCCAAACCTGATTGACAACCAGAATTACCTGGGGAATGTATTATTAAAAATACAGATTCCCACAACCTATCACAGACCTATTCAATCTGAATCCCTAGAAATGAGGCCTGAATATATATATATTTTTAATGCTTTTTTTTTCAATGACTATGTTGAATGTCTACCCTGTGCTAGGCACCATGTTGTGCTTTGGGGATAAGGTAGTGAATGAGATAGACAAGATTCCTTCCTGTTTCCTACTGGAGTCAGGAAGGGAGGTAGGGGAGATGGACAAAGTACAAATGAAAACCTAAAGAAAAGACTGAATATCTTTTGAGTTTTTTTTTTTTTTTTTACCAAAATCATCCTTTTCAAAAAGAAACAAAATTAAATACTGTGAAATCATAATAAATACTCAAGAAAACAGGTAGAGATGGAGAGAATGGACACAGGTAAAGGTTATTTATTATTTATTACTTGCAATAGCACTAGATTCGTTAAGAACGAATTTTATTGGGGCATAATTTAGGGATAATGAACAGCACCCATTTAAAGTGTACAAACCAGTGAATTTTGACATTTGTCATAGCCCCTTACTTACATCTCTAAACCCAAGTAGCCAGCAATTTGCTTTCTATCACTATAGATTAGCTTGCAATATTCAAAATTCCTTTTTTTTTTT